TTTTACTTGAGACCCGAGATTTGATCACTTCACTCTTCTAAGTTGGAGACGGAGAATGTTTTGGTCCACTGGACGTGTTTTTCAAAAACACGTCAGTTTCTATCGTATTCTCTCGTGCAATATATTTTGGGGATGGATTCTTAGTTTTATTAGTTTTAGCTGGAACTGTGTTGTTTTTTGGGACATATTCAGTGAAGTTAACGTTCGAACAGCTGGGATCAGGAATGCAAGGGTCGTTCGATTTCTTGGTGACAGAGAGGATCCGTACTTTGTTAGCAGGTTTACAGTCCACAGGCTCATCAAGATCTACATCGTGGTTTATTTGTTTATTTACTTTCATGACATTGAGGGTTTTTTTCTGTAGATTGCCTGCTGTCTCACTGTTATGTGATCTAGTCGCCTCTCTTGTTTTTACACGACGTTGACAAGGCGTTAGATCCGGGGTAACCTTTATTTTTGTATAAGGTTGATGAGCTAATATTTTTACTAAAACGGATAAATTGTTTGGCGTCGTTGCAGCAGCCGAATTTGAAAAGGAGAGGGCAAGTTGATTTGACTGATTTTTATCTGAGGCAAGTGACGTGACAGCTGACGTTTGCCATATCAAACGCTTTTAGCGAATTCAAGGATATGCGGTCGGGGAGGTTATACGCAATCGCATTGCAGGAAGACATTATTCTTTTCGTAACTTCCTCAGATACAAAATATAGGATATATTCCGCTTCGGCTAATTCTTCTAGGTTCCTATCATTATTCGGGGCCCATAAGTGCATGAGGGTTGCTAACAGGTTAAGCTTATCGTTAGTTTGGGCTAGTGAGTTTTCAAACTCTCGTATCTCGCTGCCGTGGTTATTACTATGATTAACGGTTTCGGATGGAGCATTCAACTCCTTGGTTTGTGAATTTCCAGATTTAGGCTTTACAAGATTATGCTGAAGTTTTTTCTGTGTAGACGTTTCGGTATATTTTGGTATAGTATCTCTTATATCTACGAGTTTCACAATTGGAATACTTAGTGAAGATTCATCTGACATAGGGTTTGCAGATTTTGATGTTTTGGGTGGTTTAAAAGTTGGAGAAATTTCTCTTTTACTCGAATTATTTGTCATAATGGAAAATTGGGTGGGATAATTGCTTGTTTAAGTAACTCAAATATCTAAGGGTATAAATTATTGTGTATTAACTGTGTTAATACTAAAAATCACTGGCGGATTTTAAAGATAAGAGGTTCAGTTATGGAGTGTAAGAGTCACTGTAAGTCAACAAGTAGGCTTAAACTAGTGTATTCAGAAGTTAAAATCGTTATCAAACGACAAGTGTGTATTAACTGATTAAAAACTTAGAGGGTTTGCTTTCTAGAAGCGAAGTGCACCGGTTACAATAGATAAATTCTACTAAATCAGTGTAATACCCTACGAATGATAAATTTCCGAAGAACACTATACCCTGTGAAAAATCTTACCACTTTCAGAGTTCGCGCGAATAAGAGACTTGATAAACACGTACTCATATAGGGAATATCATCTCCCTCATGGACAAGCTGTGCCTGATGCATGTATTGAGACGTGTTAGTTGTTATTGTTGCCATCTCCTCAGATCACTAACTTAATCCATCCCGCCTATTACCTCTGTTTCTTCTCCCTTGCTTACAATTCGGTCCTCTCACACAGTCTTCACTACCAATTCGTAAACTAAATTATCTATTTACTTACTTAGTGTTGAAATCTCCTTGTTAGCAATAAAATGTTCTTATTATTTTCCACATTGCAGCTAAATGATATCTGGTCTGTTGACGTGATAGCTGCTGGTATCCAGAAACTCTGTCTACTCTCCTGAAACAAACTTTTTCATTCAAATCACGGGAAACACAAACTCACAACTAACGGCCAACTGACTAGAATTAGACAGACCAGTGTCTAGACTACCACTCATTGGATTCTACCAAAAACCTGGAACCGTACCGAAAGAACAAGAATCGAGCACAAAATAATCAGTTGGTTTATATTAGCTCGTGAAAAAGATATTGGATATTGGATTTATGCACTAGCGGTAATACAGTTTGAGCGTTATTTCAAGGTTGGATGGTATCAATGTGTATATTCTAACTCACAAAATGACTAATCGTAATTAACTTGTTCCGAACACGTGTGATTATTAGGACAGATGTTATTTCGCTGTTTTCTTCCAGTTTGTCAACGCATTTTTGTCTATAATTATGAGTTTACGGAAGCAGAATCTTTTCTGGGTAAAAGTGTAACACACTGACGACCTTGAGCGGCCTACAAACCAGTCAGGAAACACTGCCTGGTTATAAAATATTCATCAACGAAGAACCATAGAATATCAGTTGAGTAAGAGTTTTGACCGGAATAACCAAGTGAGCTATTCATTGCAGTGGGCTAGTGTTATGAATTAGGATTATCACTACACAGAATTTTCGTCATCAACGAAAACCAGCTATAGTGCAAAAAGGTTCAGTCCTAGTATATAAATTCATGCTGCAGTTGTGAGTGCGGTTCTTTGAAATCGAGTTAATAGTTTCAACACAAAGTGATATTATCTATGATGCAACTCGTTTTCTTTCTAATGTTTACAAACTTCAGAGTTTTTAAGTTCATATTGAAAACAACTGTTACGAGGAAAGGATATTATCTAGCTTTACTAAACACTTTATGAAATACCTTAGCTTAATAACCGCGTCGGGACTCAATGACTGAATCTTTCGAATGAAATTATGGATTTGATAATTTGTGTGAACATTGAAATCACAGAACAGGGCATTAAGCACATATAGTCGTTTTTGAATGTCAAGTAAAGTATTTGAGTTTACAGGAAATGGTGACATAAATCCTTAGAGCCAATCGTACTAATTATCCTGTAACTCCGGATCACGACGACAGAGAAGCTGGTTATTGTGGTGGTGTTTCGTTCTCTGAGCTGGATGTTTCGAAATATCTGAGCTACAAATTTTCATCAACATCTCTAAAGCTGATTATTTTTACAAGCTTTGTTTGCTCCGTCTATGATTAGTTAACTGTGTTCATATTTTATTTCAGAAGACCCAGCACTGTTAATAACTGTCATGTGAAACATCGGACCTAAATCTGAATTCATTTTAATGTACTCGATTAAATTAAGTTTGTAGTGTTCACCTTTTAACGATATCACTATGTTAATTTGCTTAAAATCAATCACGATTCATATAGTCTATGTGTAATTTCAACAACTAGTGCTGAAGGTACTGATTTAAATTATTTTAATTGAGAGATTATTTTCCTTCATTGAAACAAAACCAATTTGGTTGTGAATAGTAGGGTACTTCATCAATAGATGAAGTGGTGAAACTTCATCAGCTGAGGTGGTTGGGACATGTGCTGTGTATGCCCAACCACCGACTGCCTCGTCGAGCTTTGTTTTGTAGTGTAGGAATAGGTTGGAAGAAAGTTAGGGGTGGCCAAACCAAAACATGGCACAAATCCATTAAGTCATTGACAAGTGGACTTAGCCATGTCGGTAATTGTCGACTACCTGGTTGGGGTCCGCGGGATGATAATAATCGATGGTTAGAGACCTTGAATGACATGGCTCAAAATCGTTCGCAATGTCGCCGGTGCATTTATTCTTTGTTTTCTGTCAAATCCTAATCTTCTGGGTTCTTCAACCCCTCTAGTTTTGACTTTCTAAACTTTTCTCATTTAATCATACTTGTTGAATAATATCTTCTAATCCTGACCTCTCCGATTACTTCTAATACCTTTACTACCTCTTCTTCTATTGGATTTGAATTGACAATTACATCTCTGTGCTGATGTGGTATGGCGACATGAACTGATGTACTTACGTACTAAGTTCTACGTTGCAACTGACTGAATAGTAGGGTACATAATAGAATAACTATCTTCTTTAGCCATCAAAATAAACGGGATCAAGTTGATTTTTCACTTCATTATACATAAATAGGAAGTTAATGTAACGTGTCATTGTATATCATGATTATAGAACAACATTTAAATATTTAGATTTTGATGTACTTCATCAGTTGAGGTGATTGGGACATGTGTTACATATGTCCAAACACCCACTGCCTCGTCGAGCTACCTTTTGCGATATAGGAGTAGGTTGGAAGAAAGCTAGTCGCGGCCAGACCAAAACATGGCAGAAATGCATGAAGTCACTGACAAGTGGACTGAGTCATGTTGGTAGGTGTCGACCAACCTGATTGGGGTCCGCGAGACGATAATAACCCGTGGTTAGAGACCCTGAATGACAATGCTGAAAACCATTTGTAATGGTGCAAGTGCATTTACTCTTTGTGTTCTATAAAATCCTAACCTTCTGAATTCCACATCACCTTTATCTTTCTCTTTCTAAATTTACCTCACTGAATTATACTTCTTGAATTAACATCTTCGAACCCTAATCTCTCCGATTACTTCTAACACTTTTACTACCTCTACTACTATAGGATTTCAAATGACAAGTATATCTCTGTGCTAACGTGGTATGGAGACTTGAACTGCAGTACTTACATGCAAAGTTTTACGTTGCTGTTGTTGTTGATGATGATATCAGCCTACTTTACATACATTATTACTTCTATAAAACTTATGTTAGGCTTTTATTAAACATTTAATCAATAAATTCAATTCTATGCCATTCAACAAGTTAGTCATTATTAACTAACTTCTTTTCGATACTAGGATAATTTTAAGCATATGAATCATTGATACTCTTTGGCTACTCACACTGTAATGATGTTTCTTTCTAAAGTATCTAAAAACTAAAAAATGATTTTTAGTTTCTAGTCGATAATTGTTTGATAACTAACTGGTGGTCATTGTGACATTTTTGTCAGTCGTTCTCCTCTCTACTATTTCCAGAACTTATTATTGACAATGAAAATTATTGGCGAATAAGATTAGATTATATTAACTTTTAAAATTCTTTATTTAATAATTGTTAGATTTAAACAATAATTTTTTTTTTCACACCTAGACAAAATGTTCTCTTCAAATAATATTATTTATAATCAATGTCCGATGTGTAACATAAACATGGAAACATGGAGCATAGAACAAAAAAATTTGCATAAGAATACATGTTGTGAAACATTTGTAAGTTTGTCACGCTTTGTCAGTTTATATGGTACTAATCTTTTTATATACATATATATATAGATCATGTATTGTCATCGTTGTCCTGCCTGTCATAAACAAATTGCTGGTCGAGTAAGTTTAAGTCTTTGTTTTTAATTTTGGGGCACAGTTTTGGAGGTTTGCATTTTTACACATTTGAAATCATCAATCAATCAATCATTGTTAGACTAATGGAGTTCAACCTTGTCGGTTGTAGGCAGTAACTACCAAAGACAAATAAATGGGTGAGGTCGTGCAAAATCCCTAGATCAATCAGAGTTAGACATTAACACCGATGGATGCCGGCCCGGTGGTCCGATGGTAAGGCGTTCGCCTACAATGCCAAAGGTCCCGGGTTCGAACCTTGCGAGGAGCAGGAGTTGTGGATGCGCACTGCTGATGAGTCCCATACCAGGACGAAACGGCCGTCTTTCAGTGCTTCCAGGTTTCTAATGGTGGTCTAGTAACAATGATTGATTGATGATTTCAAATTTTAATTTTATTACTACTGGTAAGAATTATAATCACAAACAATCTCTTGTACAGAGCTTTTTATTCTCATTTTTACATGTACTGATACATTTCATTCGAAGATAAAATTTATTCATGTACAACGGTTAATCATACTTTTATTCGACTGTTTAAGTAAGTCAAAGTAGCTGAAGAGAAGTTCAAACCTATGGCCTGCCAGTTAAAAACGGTAGATTGCGTTGGTCTTAGAGACTGGGTGCGTGCCCGCAGAGTCCAAGGGACAACTGCTTGAGGCCGCGTCACGCACGGCCTTTTTATGAAAGGGTTTTTGAGTGTTAGCTCCGCTCTGAAAGCCCCTAGTCGGCACCTTACCAACGGAGACTGAAATCCGTGAGGTAGGGTGAGGTGTTACATTTTTAGGATCTACCTTTTCTAACCATTCCTTCCTTGTGAGAAGGCAGTATCGCAGCAGATGCTGGTTGTCTGAGTGAAACACCTTACTGCTGTCGCACCCTGTGCAGTCAGCAGTACGACTTCGTCCTCAGGACCTTGAGTAGTTGCTTTTAGTCTGATCGTTCTCCAATCGACCTGCGTGGCATGATAGAACCTTCAGGAACATATGTTTCAGCCAATATAGCTCGATCGCGTAATCACGATAGGCAAGCTCGACCACCACGTCAAGGTAGCAGCTTCAGTCGTGTGAAAGGTTATCAAGATAAAATTATACATGTCTTTCTTTGTTGATGGTTGTCATTAGATTTTACTATCTTTCTAGTTTATGGTTCTTGTTAAAACATTTAATTCATTTGAAAAGAGTTTTAGTTTTAGATATGTTATTTTCAGTCAGTCAGTTAGTCAATTACAACGTAGAACTTCGTACATGAGTACATCAGTTCAGGTCGCCATACCGCATCGACATAGAAACGCAACTATCAGTTCAAATCCTATAGTGTGGTAGAGATAGTAGAAGTATTAGCAGTAATGGAGAAGATTAGGGTTCGAAGATATGATTCGAGAAGTATAATTCAGTGAGATAACTTTAGAAAGAGAAAGATAGAGATGATGAGGAGTTCTGAAGGTTAGAATTTGTTAGAACACAATGAGTGAATGCACCTGCGCCATTGCAAACGATTCTGAACCATGCTTAATTGGTCGTCCCAGGATATACGAGCAATACTTCGAAGACATCTATAATCGGATGCTAATAACCTACAAATGTCCTCTACTCTTACCGGCTCTATTTCGCATCCGTATAGTAGGACAGAGCGAACTACTACACAGTACACTCGTCCTTTAGTCAGCAGACGGATATCTCGCCTGCGCCATAGGTGACGCAAGTTGGCAAAAGCCAATCGAGTCTTCTGTATCCCTACTAAGATTTCGTCAGTCACCAGGCCATCAGCACTGATGAGACTCCCGAGATAAGTGAAGCGGTCTACACGCTCAACTGTTTTACTCTCTATCACTAGTTCAAGTGCCGATACCAGCCAATCTTGAAGCAACATTTTACATTTCGAGGATGAGAACCGCATCCCGAACATGCTTGCATTGTCGCTTAGGGTATTCAGGAGACACTGCATTTTGTTAACGTCCTCACCTAGTAGAACTATCTCATCAACATACTCTAAGTCAGCAAGCGTGTCTCTAGGTAGAAAGTCCACTCCAGAAAAGTTAGACGATGATAATTTTAACTCTTAAAGCATATCTAGGACAAAGTTAAACAAGAATAGAGAGAGTGGAGAGCCTTGACGGATACCGCTTGAAGTAGTAAATTCAGATGTAAGTTCGCCATAAGCTTTCATCCGACTAGTGATGTTCGAGTAGATAGCTTGTTGTAGTTACTCCACCTACTATAAACTTCAAACGTTATTCTGTGAATAGCCTAGAGCAAACTGATGTAGCGTATATTCACATTTTGATTAATAATAAGATATTTCACCTGTGCTGCGGATGATGCTCTTTAACAAATCCAAATGAGCATTACCTATTCATAGTAAGCTATTGTCAACTCATCAGCACTGATGAAACTCACCATGTGTGGATTGCTTAACATAATGAATTACTCACTGTTCAATCGGATTACTAATTAAAAATGCTAATAATAACGTCAAAAACTTGTTGGTAATGTTGTGTAACAATAAGATAATCAATTTTGTCAAAAATACCAATATTTATATATATATATATATATGTCATACATTGGATGGAGTCAGTGGTTCCACTAAAATATTCCTAAATAAATTATCCTACTGAATAATTTTTAAGTAGTTTGTAATTTTCATTGGATTTTTTTTTCAGCCACGGAAATGAAGATTTGCATACAGCATGTGCTTTATCTTTATCCATAAATGATGAAATAAAACGAAGACAGTCTGAAGCAATTCTAGCTGAAAAAATTGATCCCATTGATTTAGACTCACCATCACATTTACTTTTGTCAAATGAACAAAGACAAAGAATATTCAGTGAAAAATTAGAATCAATCCTACTTGAGGTAAATGAATGTTACACGATCGATCCAACCATTAAGTGAGAATTTATGAAAATCTCATGCAGTATGGAATATTGTGATATTTATTGATTTACAGTGCTTTGAGAGAGAAAAAATACAAACGAACGAAAATGTCCATTACCACGTTTTGTGAGGAAATTCTCGGAGATGTAGTGGGATGACGTGACCAGTTGAGCTCATCTCTGTGAGATTTAGGCAGTAGCTACTAAAGGCGAATGAGTGAGGTCGCGTAAAACCCTTAGATTCATCAGAGTTAGACATTAACACCGTTAGATACCGGCCCAGTGGTCCAGAAGTTAGGCGTTCGTGTGCAAAACTAAAGCTCCATGGTTCGAATCCTGTGAGTAGTAGGAGTCGTGGTTGGGCACTCCTGATGAGTGCCATACTAAGATGAAACAACCATCTAAACAGTGCTTCCAGGTTCCTAATGTTAGTCTAACAATGATTGATTGATGATTTCACATGTGTAAAAAAACACTAATCTCCATTCATTACTCTAATTGAAATAAAGATCAAACGTTTTGCAGTGTGTCGAATTACTGCGTTTTCTTAAGCTCGGTAATTAACTCGTTCAGACAATCGTTGCCAAACAGTGTCTGACGATTTATAAATCAGAAGATGAACACAAAGTGATGAATACATTTATTTGGGACACACCACAAAGCGAAGCGGAGAAGCAGTGAATAAAACGAATGAAGCGACGTGAACTGGAAAAGGCTTTTGAGCCAACTCCATGGGTTACAATGCGAACAAATGGGCGAAGCGAATTGAAGAAGGCTAACGAGCCAACTCCAAAGAGATAGAGCATGACTAAGAATATAGATAGTCAGACAAAAATAAGACAGACATATGACAAGCGAAATAGGCGTGCACACACATGAATAAAAGCGACGAATGATTGACAAGGTCAAATGACAAGTGTGGCATAAGTCATGTGAGCTCATCATATAAACCAGACAACAGTAATAAGACCGAATGGTACATATATAAATTGTTTCTCGCAATACAAATGGCTTGGTTAAATGAAAATTAATCGAAAGGGCTTAACCAAGTTAAAATGTAAGCTAACTGGAATACAATATGTGAAGGCACTACAAACGAATGTCTGCAGAGCAGGGTTCGAACCCGTGACTTCATGAAATAACAGTTGAATAAAATGTAACGATCAATAGAAAAAAAAACCACCCACTATTTCATGATCTTTTAGTTATATTTTTTACTTAGATTTCACCTTAATTCTTTGATATTATTAGAAATTTTTTCATGTTTTATTTGTAATTGTTCTGTCAACTAACAGGTTAAAAGAGTTGACAAGCCGGAAAAAGAATATAATAACGCTTATAACGCTTATAATAATTTCAATGTTCAATCTCATCTATGGAATTTAGCATCGACAAAACTTGATGACAATGGTAAGAGTGATTTAAATTTCTTTTTATTTTTTTAAAATACATAAATATCCTATTTTGACTATTCTGTAATTGTTATTACTGAAGCGAATTAGCCAATCAGCTAAAATTTGGCTAAAAATAGCCAAATACAGTAGTATACTTGAAGTGAAGAAATACAGCTGGCCGTTAAGAGTAGAAGATGTTTGTAGGTTGCTAGTATTCGATCATAGATGTGTTAAGAAGCATTGCTCGTATATCGTGGGACAACCGAGTAAGTAATGCTGTCGTTAGGAAACGAGTACTAGGTAAGGATGGCAGATCAATAGATGAAGTGGTGAAATTTCATCAGTTGAGGTGGTTGGGACATGTGTTACGAATGCCTAATCACCGACTGCCTTGACGAGCTGTGTTTTGTGATGTAGGAGTAGGTTGGAAGAAAGTTAGGGGCGGCCAGACCAAAACATGTCACAAATCCATGAAGTCATTGACTAGTGGACTGAGTCATGTTGGTAGATGTAGACTACGTGGTTGGGGTCCGCGAGACGAAAGTCACCAATGGTTAGAGACTTTGAAGGACATGACTCAAAATCGTTTGCAATGGCGCAAGTGCATCCATTCGTTCAGCTCTCTCAAATCTCAATCTTCTGGATTCGTCAGCACCTCTACTTTTGTCTTTCTAACCTTATCTCACTGAATTATACTTTTTGAATAATATATTCGAACCATAGTCTTCTTCATTACCATTAATACCTCTTCCATCTTTATCATTATGGGATTTGATTTGATATTTGCGTCTCAGTGCTAATGTGGTATGGCAACATGAACTAATGTACATACGTACGAAGTTCTTACGTTGCAACTGACTGACTATATTTGGCTATTGTCTCACGACGTCTTAAGATTTAATCGATTTTACGGTCTAACTGGGTAAAATTAATCTTTAATCTGAGTGTGTAGATAAATTCAAAAGATATGATGCTATTTTTGCGTCAGCTTTTGGGTAGGGTGGCTGTTGAGTGTCATTGAAATCATAAATCGGTCAGTGTTAGAACGTCGTCACCATTAGAAACTTGGAAGAACTGGATGATCGTTTCGTCGAAACTGAAGGTCCTGGGCTCGATTGTCGCGAGCGGGTGTCTTGGATGCACACTGCCACTGATGACTCCCAATACTAGGATGAAACGATCATCCAGTGCTTCTAGGTTTCTAACAATGATTGATCTAACAATGATTGGTTGATGATTTCGATCAAACAATATTACAGATCGATTTGCTGACCACACTCTCTGACATCAATATGAATATGAAATTGCAATATAGTGTAGTGAAGGAGAACACAGGTGAGGGCAACCGAATTGTATGTAACGAAAATTACAGAGTTACTCAGTAAAATAGGAAAACCATATCGTAAACGGTTAATTTGCAAATCTTCAATCCATCATCAATCCATTGTCTGACATTTCACCACTATTCATGCGTTTCATACAAATTCCATTGTGTTCCCACTCTTCTTACTTTCTTGATCTTCCTCCCGCATCTTCTGCTGCCAGACATTACGTTTACACTCGCGTCATATACTTACTACTTATAAGTAGCGCGCACCACAGTAGGTGTAAAGAAAATAGGATTAAGGTGAATTGATATTTAGTCATAATTTAAGAATCATAAAATATACGGTAATAATCAAATCACTACACTGAAAGCATATAATAAGTAAAAAAAATAGAAATGTACTGAGCCAATCAGAATTGACCAAATGACAAGGACATATTGATGACTAGAAATGTCCTAAAAGACGAATTACATATCATTGGTCAAGAAATGGATTTGTTTTCTAAGGGATAAGGGATGTTTATATATGTATCAATGAGTATTTATCTATGTGATTCAGTAACCAAAACAGAATTTGTTTTATATACTGAACTTTTCACTGAAGTCTGAAGTGTTGCAAAACAACAACAAAACAACCGAGTGGTTGTTTTGGAACATTCCCGTGGGCCATTGTCATTAGCACGCTGTATTGCAAATTGCCATTCACAATCATGTAAGCTGGGATGGGTCAAATTGACCTGTTCATGCTGTTCATATTGTGTGACACGATCATGGATCGGAAGTAATCATTATATATGTATTGGTGTATATATATACTGTGAATGGTTCACGTGGGTGTCATCAGGTACCTCTGTGTAGTCGCCCGTAGGATTGAGCCGTACTGTTCACATTATAATGTTAACAAGTGGACAGTGTTTAGTTCTCCTGAAAACCAATCTGGAATTACCTTTGCCAATTGAGGGTGAATTTATTTGATGATAACGTTCACATCTGGGACATCGCACATTATGGCATATAGCAATCTAGTTAACAAGCAGTGCTATAGTTAGCAAACAAGTTCTAGGTAGGGATAGCAATTCAAAAGATAAAGTATTGAAACTTCATCAGTTCAGGTGGTTAGGACATGTGTTACGAATGCCTAATCATCGACTGCTGCGACGAGCTGTTTTGTGGTGTAGGAGTAGATTGAAAGAAAGCTATGGGCGACCAAACCAAAACATGGCACAAATCCATGAAGTCACTGACAAGTGGGCTAAATCATGTTGGTAGATGTAGACTACCTGGTTGGGGTCCGCGAGATGAAAGTCACCGATGGTTAGAGACCTTGCATGACATGGCTCAGAATCGTTTGCAATGGTGCAGGTGCATCCTCTCATTGTGTTCTCTGAAATTCTACTCTTCCGAATTCTTCGTCATCTCTATCTTTCGCTTTCTAAAGTTATGTCACTGAATTATACTACTTGAATCATATCTTCGCTCCCTAATCTTCTCCATTACTGCTAATAATTCTATCTCTACCACACTATAGGATTTGAACAGATAGTTGCGTTTCTGTGCTGATGCGGTATGGCAACCTGAATTGATGTACTCATGTACGAAGTTACTGTGTACTGTATATATGTTTATGTGATAACAGTTTCTTAAAAATAGTTTCGAGAGTTACTACTTCTTCGATATTCGTGGTGGTGTCTCGTTCTCTGAGCTGGATATTTTGGTTGTGAAGCTTTCATTGTTGTTCTCCTGAACAACATCGTCAGCACAAACTTTAGATGTAAGTGAAGTATTCAAATTTCTCCACGTTTGACCTGTAGCTTGTTTTGCTAAACCTGTATCTTGATTGGCTGCTGTTGACGTTAAACCTGTCGTTGTTTGATATAAGCAAAGAATTGTCATTGTGTTTGACTGCTAATTGGCGTTCATTGAAACGAATCTAAAGAGGTCGTCCACAGGTCAAACATGGAGAAATTCGAAAATACATCACTTCGTCTATCCGAAGTTTGTGCTGATGATGTTGTTGTTGTGGTTTCAGAGGAAGAACAATAAAAGTTTCACACAACCATAACATCCAGTTCAAAGAATGAGACAACTGCTTGAGGCCGGTCGAGCACGGCCTTTTTTATGAAAGGTTTTTTGAGGATTAGCTCCGCTCTTAAAAGCCCTTAGTGGGCACCCTTACCGGCGGAGACGGAAATCCGTGAGTCAGGGTGAGGTGTGACATTTTTAGGGTCGACATTTTTTCTAAGCCTTCCTTCCTTGTCAGAAGTCAGCATCCCTACAGATGCTGGTTGTCCGAGTGAAACACCTTACTGCTGTCACACCCCTCCATCACAGTCATTCAGCAGTACGACTTCTCCCTCAGACCTTGAGTAGTTGCTTTTAGTCTCATCGTTCTCCAATCGACCTGTCTGACTGTCATGGTAGAACCTTCAGGAACATATGTTCCAGCCAATATAGCTCAGTTGGGTCATCACGATAGTCAAGCCCGACCACTAAACACTTCAAGGTAGCATTTTCGGTCGGATCGAGACACCAGCACACAATCATCCACCTAAGCTACGAATTTTCTCCACCATCTCTTCAATATTCCTTCTATGAAAACAGTGATTACATCTATGATTATTATTATTATTATTTTCAATCTATTAGATAATATCACACAAATGTATTACGTGAATCAATTAATTCCACCTTTAAGTCCTACAATCCATACGTTAAATTCCAATATTATTTCAATGTCACAAATACCTGGACGTGTTTCAATTCATCGTCAAATCAAACATCAATCATCGAACACGATAACCACTATGGATGAATACAAACTGAATCAATCAAGTTATAGCTGCAATAATGACGATAGTGTTTCAGTAAAGGTAAAAATAAAAAATGTTTTATGCTTACCATTCGTTGATATGCTTAAAACGATTACAAGTTCACTTTGGTCGGTAAATGAGCGTGAATACAAGATGATTCATTGACTACGATAGGCTACTCTGCCCCCCCCCCACGCTAACGGTATCAAAAAGTTTTGATTTATGCGTAGAAAGTCTTATTCTACAAGAACCCAAAAAATATGTAGTTTTGTATAGGAGAAGAGCATAAAACTTTACAGGCAGTACATATTTATACAGTTAGGTTGACCGTGAATATTGACCAATAGGGAAAGAACATTTAAAAAGCATGTGAACTTGATGATAGTTTAGGACGACCTTGAAAATATTGACTAATAGGAATTGGCCAATAGAAGTAGACTTACAAAATAATTTCTTTAGGATATTTTGATGAAGATCCTAACAAGATGGTATGTTATTTTACTCTGTCTTGCAAAACCATGAACAATGTTAAGCGTTTGAGCATTTGAATGTTACCTGACTATTAACGAATAAACATACAGCTGAATTCACTTGAACATATGTATATCTTTAGAAAAAAATTTGTTAAATACTTTAATAGATGCGCAACATTGTATACAATAAGTTTGTAGAATTGATCGGAATTCATTTCTATCTGATTTTTGTTTAAGAAAGATCAAGAATGATCTAGAATGTTCGCTTCGCTTAACTCAATGAAAATAATACTCAATCAATCACTGAGTTACAACGTAGAACGTCGTACGTACGTACATCAGTTCAGGTTGTCATACCGCATCGACACAGAGGCGCAACTATCAGTTTGAAGCCAATAGTGGTAGCGATAGTAGAAGTATTAGCAGTAATGGAGAAGATTAGGCAGCGAAGATATGATTCAAGAAGTATAATTCAGTGAGATAACATTAGAAAGCGAAAAATAGAGATGATGAGGAATACGGAAGGTTAGAAATTGTGAGAACACAATGAATGAATGTACCTGCGTCATTGCAAACGGTTTGGAGCCATGTCGTTCTTGGTCTCTAACAATTGATGACTTTCATCTCGCGGACCCCAAGCAGGTAGTCTACTCCTACCAACATGGCTTAATCGGATAATAGTTATATAATATTGTTATATAATTCTCTCTCTTTATTACAACCCAGCTATTCTTAATACTTAGTATTCTCGGACACCACTTCACTCGAGACGTTCTTCTAAAATCAGAACACGGTTGAACAGGAAATAGAATCTATTCCAATAATAAGGTTAAATGGAAGTCAGAAAGCCCAAAGGAAAAAGACATTAGTTTATTCATAGTTGTCTTACATAAGAAGATTCTAGAATGTTCCCCGTCAGTACCAGCTAGCGCTGATTGGAGACGAAAGAGCCAATCAACGTGCAACAACACAATCATGCTTTACTCCAATTTATGTCTTACTAACAAATATCCACTAGTGGATGAAATTAAAATCTATCTATCAACTTGTTGGTCTGAAAATTAAACGTTCACTTCAACGCCTAACAGTCCTGGGTCCGATCTCTGATAGTGTATTGTTGGTTTGCACTACTGAGGAAAGTCATACACTAGAATAAAACAGCTATCCAATATTTCCGGATTCTCAGTGGTTACTTAACTGAATTTAGTTTGTAATATGAAACATAAAATTCTACTGAGAAGACTGAGGCAGGCGAGGAAGATTGTATTATGCAAATTTACACTCTGATTTAGTTAAAAACGAAAACATTACATTGAATACTCTATTTGTACACCATCTTTGAGTCGTGACTTCCAACACTCCATCCTTCTTCCATTCCTGTTGTTGCTCCCTTTACTTCCTGTTGGTACGCCATTTACTTCTTACTTTTGCTCCATTTGCTTTCCGTTTTCCTCTTCTGACCGTGAGACTTCTTTCACGTCCCTTCTTATACTACTTATATCGTTCGTATAAGTAGCACACACCACATTAGCTGTAATCCAAAAGAATCATCAGTTGAAAAAAACGAGAAAATTGGTCGTCAGGTATTCAAAAGATTAGAATTTGAGAGAAGACAAAGAATGAAATGCATCTGTGCCATTGTAAACGATTATATCGTTCGTATAAGTAGCACACACCACACTACTTCATCACTGTTGATGTTTATAGGGACTGGTTAATTGTTTAGCAAAATGGCACTCTGAAGACCTAGACAACTAGGCCAGTTGTCTTGTGATGTAGGCGGTAGGTTGCAAAAAATGCTAGAGTTGGCTAAACCAAAACGTGCCAAAAATCTATGAAGTCACTGACAACTGAACTGAGCCATGTTGGTAAGTTGGTAAAACTACCCTATTAGGGTCTGTGAGATGATAGTAATCGATGCTTAGAGATCTCGAACGATATGGCTCAAATTCGTTTTGATATACTTGAATGTTATTACGAGTTCATCTAACTCGGTAAACAGGACGAAAACTCAGTGACACGATAGGCTGTTCTAATCAGTTTGTCCCCGGCTCGGGTAACTATATAAAAGGAGGTCTTGATAAGGTGTAAAAAGTGTATTCTATAAGCACCAAGAAAATATGAGATTCACAAGCACACAAATCGAGCTTATTTATACATGATAGAAATGTCTTTGTAGGAGCCACAAAATAGTGTGTACTAAAATAATCCAACAACCAATGACAGTCAAGGATTTTCCGAATGGGAAATGTAAGCTCAAGGTCAACTGAGCAATTTATGCGCGAAAACATAAAAATTCCGAAATTAGGACCTTTTCCAAGTGAGTTCTGGGTATCTAACGTCCCCTACACGTGTGCAATGGCTCAGATGCATTCAATTTTTGTGTTGTCCTCAAATTCTTATCTTGTGAACTTCTCATCGTCTTTACTTTTCTCTTTATAAGTTTATTTCACTGAATAATTTCTTCGAACCCTAATCTTCTCCATTACCGTTAATACTGCTACAACCTCTTCTAGTATGGAATTTGAAAATTGCCTATCTATGCCAATGTGGTATGGCATCTTGAACTGATGAACGTATATACGAAGTTCTACGTTTTGGCTGACTAATTGAATCTGAAGACCACTTGTATCCATTTCTGTTTCAGTTCTTGTACACTACAAAAGTGCCTGTTATTCGAACGCGTAACTCCTGGATTTGAATTCTAATGCAAATATCAACACTGATTTGCAAGTCCATCTAGCTAATGCGTCGAAAATTGAACGAAACCCTCCATCTTGATTTCTATCTACTACTGCTAGCCTTAATCTATAGTATTACTGTTGCATAATTGAAAGTAATCAAGGAAACTGTTCTGTCTTATTATTTGTATCCAGTATGAACGCAAGGTATTTTTCGAATTCGGAACAAACAATTGAATTGTTTTCTAATACAATCGTTTATACAGTGTAACTGGATAACGCTAACTAGCACTCAACACTTCAACATTCTTGACAACTAACATTAGGTGAAAATGAACTGTAGTAAGGTCTAATTATTCTGCATGAAACAAACAGTCCTAAACGAATTTATACAAATCTGTATGTTCAGATTAGCGAGTTATTAGGGGATGTAGAAAGGATTTGATTCTGACCGATTTGGTCTCGTATGCTTTTATTGGTATGTGTGTCGTTGTCACTTCCCGGCTGCCTACACCGTGGAACGGCTCCGGTTGTTAGAAGGGGCATCGATTTCGTGACTTCCGAAGGGACTCAGCTTTCATTATGAGACGTCATCATTCTTCTAAATGAAGACTTTCTAACTCACAGAGATTGCGTTTAAATGGTTTGAATTATTTTTTCTTGTTAGCGTGTTTCAAGCGAGTTAGTTTTTTTGCTGGATGGGGTCGCCAACCCCAATCCCAATCCTCCTCCTTTATCCAGTCTTGGGACCGGCAGTAACCCCAGAGGGTCTACAGGCGGAGTTAGTATGTCTAGATAGTAATTTTCCTTAAAACATGCTAGCATTTAGAAAAATATTATCAATTGAAACCAATTAGAAAAAGTTCAAAAGTCATACGAAATATTGAAGTTGAAAAAATACATCATTTATAGTTATCATTTCTAGTACAGATTTTTAACACTACTATCAAAATTTAAGTAGTCACCTTATCGTAAAACTAAAATAATAAGCCCAATAATTGATAAATTGAAAACGCCGTAGGATTTTTTTTGGAAAACAGACAGTTGACTGATTCCAGATTAACATGATTGACATTCTATATCGGCAAAACCGTTTGCGATGGCGCCGGTGCATTTATTCTTTGTATTCTCTCAAATCCTAATCTTCTGGATTCTTCAACCCGTCTAGTTTCGACTTTATAAACTTTTCTCACTGAATCATATTTCTTGAATAATATCTTCTAATCCTAACCTCTCCGATTACTTCTAATACCTTTACTACCTCTACTACCATTGGATTTGAATTGACAATTATATCTCTGTGCTGATAAGGTATGGTAACATGAACTAATGTACTTACGTACAAAGTTCTACGTTGCATCTGACTGACTGACTGACTGACTCTATGTCGGCATAGTGAATTTGAATTGAATTAAAGTCTATAAAAAGTATGTTAAATTTTACAATATTCTTACTTTATTTCATTCTTGTTTTAAATAATTAAAAGTGTGAACAATTGTCACCAAAACAATCTCCTGAACTTGATCATAATCAATATGGCACATCATCAGAATTATCATCGATCACTTCCAATAATACTTTTCTTTCTAAATATGCATCCAATAGGAATCATGTAAGTTGTTAACCAATAACTGTCTTTCAAATAATATATTGATTAACTTTTAACTGTTACGCAAACGATAATATCAGTTTTAAGCAACATCCACCATGATTCTCTTGGGTGAATCTTATTATATATTCCCTGAAGACACTCCTTTTTTCAGTACTATTCATGAAACTACTTATTAATTATAAGTAGTGTAAGTTTATTCATTCATTTTTTGCAGCGAAATCCTGGTTACAATTTCACTATTTTGGTCTATTTATGTGTCTGTGATAGTTTTTCTATGAAAACCACTGTTTGAAATTTTGTTTATTCTTGATTAGCAGTATATCTGTTTACTTAAATAAGCATCGAATTTGTATTTGAACAAATGTTTATATTCTCGCACGACATAATCTGGTAATATTTTTTTCTGTTTATGATGAGTGCTGTTATTTTGTTGTAAGTTATTGGTCTGATTGTTAGTAGGACATAGATGGAATTAAAGCATGATTAAGTTGCTACGCGCTGATTGGCTAATTTCCTATCCAATCAGCGCCTGATCGATTCTTGGAGAACAGGGTAAAAAAATTCTCGTATTGTTAGCTGCGTGCTGATTGGTTAACTCTAATCCATTCGATCACGTGAATTTCTATCCAGAAGCTTCTCATGTAAATGCTATACATATGCTAACGTTGTATCTATTTTCGCCTTCGCCTTTGGCTCCTTATTTCTATTTAACCTTGCTATTTGGTGTATAATCTTTTCCTGTTCAACCGTGTTTTTGATTCTTGGGAACTTTTCCAGTGTATTGTTTGTGGTCAGAGAATAGTAAGCAATAGGATTCAGCCGGAAATTATATTTAAGCAAGCATTACAACACTGATAAACTTCGTTTTCTTGGTAATTGAACTTTTGAACGAGTTAACTGACACTGGAGATTATCTAGATACACTAATCAGATCTGTGAATAACTAATTTTTATTATTTGAAATCATGAATCAATGATTGTTAGAAGGTGAGGTAGCAGGATAGCTTAGGTTGATCACAGTTGGACATCGAAACCGTTAAATGCTAGCTCATTGGATAAGAGGTTAAGTGTTTGCGCACGAAACTGAAGGTCCTGGGATTCGAGTCTCGCGATTGCGTATCGTGGCTGTGCACTGACACTGATGAGTCGCACACTAGGACGACATTCAATTATTTTCAACTGATTTCCAATTATTATCGCATTATCATTGAAAAACACAGAATCAAATCTAGTGACACCAAAAATTAATCTAGTTTGGAAAGTATAATACTATTTTTTTTATTTTAAAAATACACAATAAAGTTCATCTTGTAGCACTGAATGGCCGTTTCGTCCTAGTGTGGTGCGAGCTACTTATAAGTAGTATGTGACGTGAGTGTTAACGTAATGTCTGGCAGCAGAAGATGGGGGAAGATCAAGAAAGGAAGAGTTAGAAAACAATGGAATTTGTATGAAACGCATGAATAGTGACAATGGATTGATGTTTTGCAACAGGAACAGTCCAGTTCGATAGGATGGACTGATATTTTGCAAATGAACGATTTACGATATGGTTTTCCAATTTTACTGAGTAACTCTGTAATTTTCGTTAAATACAATCCGGTTGCCCCACCTGTGTTCTCCTTCACTATCGAAGTATTCATTATAGAGTTAGACATTAAGACTGTTGGATGCCGCGCCAGCTCAATGATCTAAAGATTAAGCGTTCGTGTGTGAAACCGATGGTTGTGGGTTTGACTCTCGCTTACGGGGGGTCATGGATGCGCACTGCCACTTATAAGTCCAATATACTAGTGTAGTGAACGAGAATACAGGTGGGGCAACCGAATTGTATTTAGCGAAAATTACAGAGTTACTCAGTAAAATCGGAAAACCATATCGTAAATCGTTAATTTGCAAAATATCAGTCCATCCTATCGAACTGGACTGTTCCTGTTGCCAAACATCAATCCAGTGTCACTATTCATGCATTTCATACAAATTTCATTGTGTTCTAACTCTTCCTTTCCCTTGATCTTCCCCCATCTTCTGCTACCAGACATTACGTTGACACTCACGTCATATACTACTTATAAGTAGCTCGCACCGCACTCGTCCCCCCTTTTTAATAAGCTGTCGTCGCAGTCTTTCAAAACAGGGACCCTGGTCAGTTAATATCACCTTCCGTATTCCGTGACGCCCTACAATATGACGGATTACTACTTCGGTCATTGTTCTTGCCTGCTGGTCTGGAATGGGTACGGCATCTATCCAACGTGTAGCGTTTACTAGTTCCCGCTGCTTGGACACGACGGCAGGCACAGTCTCGATAAATGGCGACGCCAACAACTGTGCCCCCGAATCCCCATCCATACTCGGCAGCGTACGGCACAGCAACATCGTGAGCTCCACAGCCAGCACCAACTTTTTCTATTGTAAAAAAATATTATTATTATTATTACTATTTGTATTCCATGAAAAAATTTCAAATATTTACTTACATCTATAAATTTTATTCTTTTTTACAAACAAAATTTTTATTTCAGATAAATTCTACTAATCCATTATTATCTATGGTTAATAATACGTTATGCTCAGATTTATGCCTAATTTTAGACGAAGGCGATATTATTCCAACGCATAAATTTATATTTGCAGCATGGAATTTGAATGTGAATTATTCACAGGTAAAAAAAAGATAGATTTGTGGAATGTATTGTATTGTATTTTGGTTTTTTTTTACTATTCTTTTGTTTTTAAAAACCTGTTTCGTTCTAGTATGGGACTCATCAGCAGTGTGTCTGTCCATGACCACCTGCATTTTGGGAATTGAACCTAGGGCTGGTTCGTTTTCCATGCTCTCAGTTTCTGAAACAACACTCCTAATGCAAGAAGGCAGTGTGAGTATGACTTCCTTGACAATGGCTATGTACACGTGTCCATAGGAGAGTATTTGGAGCTTGAGAATAGACTATCACCACTCTTGGCTGTACTAGGGCATTTGGAGGGCCGAGGACTAAATGTTTTTAGGAATTATTTTCATCAGTTACTTATTTATTTACTTACTTACTGACTTAATTATTCTTGTTACCCCCAGTGGAGTTATAGGCCTCCGACCAGCATTCTCCAACTTACTGTGTCTTACGTCTTCCTTTTTAGTTAGTTCTATCCACTTGTTCTTCATTCTTCTCATTTCTCGGCCCAACGTGTTTCTTAATCTCTATCTACCCTTTTGATCTTAAGGACTCCAAGTGACAGCTTGATTTGAGGTTTCTGCAATATGTGTCCTATCCCTTTCCAGCTTTTCTTTCTCATTTCTCATTGTCTGCTGGAATCTGGTTTTGTTCTATCCCAGAATAGGTTGTTACTGATGGTGTTTGGCCAGCGGATTCGAAGTATTTCGCGTTAAGAAGAAGCACTTGTATCTTCCTCATGATGGCTTTGGTAGTTCTCCAAGTTTCCACCCCATATAGTAGAACTGTCTTGACATTTATAATGAAAATTGTGACTTAGGTGTTGCTGGATAGTTGTTTTCAGTCCCAGATGTGCTTGCTTTGCCAATCCGCACCTTCAAAATCTGCATCCGATCCACCTTGCTCATGAATAATGCTTTCCAGATATATATAGAGGATTTTACGTCCTCCAAGGTATCTCCATCAAGAGTGATTTGGTTAGTGTATGTTGTATTGTATCGGAGAATCTTGTTTTTCCCGTTGTATATGTTGAGACCTACTGCTGCAGAGGTTGCTGCTACACTAGTCGTCTTCGATTGCATTAATTGTTTTGTGTGGGATAGAAGAGCTAGATTGTTTGCGAAGTCCAAATTGTCCAGCTGCATCCTAGCTCTCCATTGTATCTCGTGTTTCCTTCCCTTCAGATGTTGACGTCTTCATAATCCAGTCGACCACTAGGAGAAATAGAAACGGTAAGAGTAAGCAAGCTTGTCTGAACAATATCAATTTATAAACCATTGAATCACTGGATCATATAGTTTTAATAATAATAATAATAATAATTCTATCCAACCTATTCAATTGATGGGGTATGACTTTGAAAAATTCACAATTCATTCTAGAATTATTTCATTTTGTTACGCATACGCATGATCACGTCAATTTGATGATATGCTTGAACTGTTACAAGTTCACCTTAGTCAGTAAACAAGAGCAAGGATCGATGATCCGGCCACACGACAGCAGGCTACTCTGTAATCCAAGTGTTCCAAACCTCCTTTAAATTGAAGAAGAATAAATAAAACGCGTATTCTACAAGCAACCAGAAAGTATTGTAGTGAAGGAGAACACAGGTGGGGCAACCGAATTATAGTTAACGAAAATTACAGAGTTACTCAGTAAAATCGGAAAACCATATCGTAAATCGTTAATTTGCAAAATATCAGTTCATCATATCGAACTGGACTGTTCCTGTTGCCAAACATCAATCCATTGTCACTATTCATGCGTTTCATACAAATTCCATTTTTTTCTAAATCTTCCTTTCCCTTGATCTTCCCCCATCTTCTGCTGCCAGACATTACGTTAACACTCACGTCATATACTACTTATAAGTAGCTCTCACCACAGTATGAGGTCCGAATCCAGAAGAGAATCAGGATCCCAGACTAGGGGTCCGTGTCATAAAACATTACAAACAATGCATATTTATACAGTTCGGTAGAATATGGAAACAACATTTGAAGCATGTGACATTGATGAGTTAGGATTTCCGATAGGAATTGACGAAAATACTTTTTCGTAGGATACTGAATGAATATTCTAAAACACACATCTATTTCATTAAGTTGAATAGCTTCCATTGTGATATTGTGTTTTTAGAATTCATTTGTATTGATCGGATCGCTCCGTTCTCCTATATGGCTGTGAAACATGGGCGTTAAGAGTAGAAGATGTTCGTAGGTTACTAGTATTCGATCATAGATGTTTAAGAAGCATTGCTCGTTTATCGTGGGACAACCGAGTAAGTAATGCTGTCGTTAGGAAACGAGTACTAGGTAAGGATGGCAGATCAATAGATGAAGTATTGAAACTTCATCAGTTGAGGTGGTTGGGACATGTGTTACGTATGCCTAATCACCGACTGCCTCGACGAGTTATGTTTTGTGATGTAGGAGTAGATTGGAAGAAAGCTAGAGTGGCCAGACCAAAACGGCAGAAATGCATGAAGTCACTGACAAGTGGACTGAGTCATGTTGGTAGATGTAAACTACCTGGTTGGGGTCCGCGAGACGAAAGTCACCAACGGTTAGAGACGTTGAATAACATGGCTCAGAATCGCTACCAATGGCGCAGGTGCATCCACTCGTTGAGCTCTCTCAAATCCTAATCTTCTGGATTCGTCAGCACCTCTACCTTTGTCTTTCTAACCTTATCTCACTAAATTATACTTCTTGAACAATAATATCTTCAAACCCTAGTCTTCTTCATTACCATTAATACCTCTTCTATCTTTATGACTATGGGATTTGATTTGACATTTGCGTGTGTGTGCTAATGTGGTATGGCAACATGAACTTATTTACATACGTACGAAGTTCTACGTTGCAACTGACTGCCTGATGATAGAGGTTGAAGCGAATGGATATTGAGTTCGAGTCCCCAGAGTAAACTAGCAAAGTGTGTGGCAGGTATATCGAGCTAAAGATGAGTTTAACATAATAAGACAAAATACGCACATCGTACATTCATTCATTTCACTGTCAGCCTAATGTCTAGAAATAATAATTTCTTTCTATACTGTTATTTTTGTATTGCATTATTGACTAGTTCTTCTCTCTGTCTGTCTGTCTGTCTGTCCTAATGTCTGTCTCTCTCTATCTTTCCTGTACTTTGTTATCTAGTGTGATTTAATAGAAATTCACAATCTATCCAAAGATGAACTTATCAATCTTTTGCAAATATTATACACTGGTGATCGATCCAAACTTACCGATCAATATATTGATCATGCGTCAGATGCATTAAAAAATTTGATCAAAAAGTATGTTTATATTATTGAGTTTTTCAATTAAGTTGTGAATGATTGATGATCATTGAAGAAGAAGCCATGAGTAGTGGAGTTCAACCATGTCGATTGTGTGAGGCAGTTACCGACCCGAAGACAATGTGTGAAGTAGCTCTGAAAATTCTTAGACTAATCAAAGTTAGGAAAAACACAGTGTTGAATCCCGACTCCAGTGGCTTAGAGTTTAGGCGTTAACATGTGAGACCGAAGGTCCTAGTTTTGATTCCCGCTAGTAGGGATCATAGATGCGCACTGCTGATAAGTCGCGTGTTAGAAAGTGTTAGGATATTCACCAAATATCCTAAGAATACTATTTTTAGAAGTACAATCCTATCGGTCGATTTCTATTGGCCGAAATGATGATCGTTCTAACCGTCAAGGTCAAATACTTCAATGTTGCCTCTTATTGGTCATCTGGACTGTCAATGTCATTCAAATGTTCTTTTTTATTGGTCGGCCTAAACTGTCAATGTCACAGACGTTGATGCTCTTTCCTATTCGACCTTAATGTATAAATACACACTATCTGTAAGCCTTCATGATTCGGATTCCGACTCCGTTTCTCCTGCCTACCCTCTTCTGTATTCGACCCAATAAACAACTCCATCCCACGGTGTTGCGTTCTGATATCTAGGAGATTTGGAAATAGCATTTTGGGTCGTATTGGGATATATGAATTGGACGCCGCTAGGATTGAATAGCTATACGTAGCAGCGTTACAACAGAAAGAAACGGTCGTCCAGTGCTTTCAGATTTTCACTGGTGGTCTAAAACAAAGATCAATCCATAATTTCAATGAAAGGATACACGTTTGGGCATATCATTAATTAAATACTGTTCAGTGATAAATCAATGCTTGAATATTATTCGTCAGTATGCTGGTTGGTAAACCAATAACATCAATCGACTTATATAGTGCTGACCTTTACTAAACTACATTAGTTGATGAATTACGCGTCCTACAATAGTTGTTTTCCTGGACCTTAAGGCGGCATTTGACTCTGTGGATCGTGAGGTTCTGTGGCAGTGTCTGTCATTGAAAGGTGTACCAAAGAAGTACATTAACCTTATACAAGCCCTTTACTCGGACACCACTGGTCGAGTGAGGGCTTATGGCGAACTGTCACCGGAATTCTCTACATCAAGTGGTGTCCGTCAGGGATGTCCACTTGCTCCATTCTTGTTTAATTTTATCATAGACATGCTCCTAGAAATAACCTTATCCTCGTCTGAATTTTCAGGAGTAGACCTTCTACCAGGTGGCTTGCTTATTGACGTAGAATATGCCGATGACATAGTCCTACTTGGTGAAGACACTGACAAAATGCAGAGTCTTCTGACTACCCTAAGCAACAATGCGAGCATGTTCGAGATGCGGTTTTCCCCCTCGAAATGCAAAATGTTGCTTACAGACTGGGTTGCATCGGCACCTGAACTAGTGATAGGGAGTGAAGTAGTCGAGCGTGTAGATCGCTTCACTTATCTGGGGAGTCTCATCAGTGCCGATGGCCTGGTGACTGACGAAATATCAGTTCGGATACAGAAGGCTCGATTGGCTTTTGCCAACCTGCGTCACTTATGGCGTATGCGTGATATCCGTTCTCTAATCAAAGGACGAGTGTACTGTGCAGCAGTTCGCTCCGTTCTTCTATATGGCTGTGAAACATGGCCAGTGAGAGTAGAAGATATTCGTCGGTTACTGGTTTTCGATCATAGGTGTCTTAGAAGCATTGCTCTTATACCGTGGGACAACCGAGTGAGCAATGCTGTCGTTAGGAAACGAGTACTAGGTAAGGATGGGAGAGCAATAGATGAAGTATTGAAACTTCATCAGTTGAGGTGGTTGGGACATGTCTTGCGTATGCCGAACCACCGACTGCCACGACGAGCTTTGTTTTGTAGTGTAGGAATAGGTTGGAAGAAAGTTATGAGCGGCCAGACCAAAACATGACAGAAATCCATGAAGTCGTTGACGAGTGGACTTAACCATGTCGGTAATTGTCGACTACCTGGTCCGCGAGATGATAATAATCGATGGTTGAAGACCTTGAATGACATGGCTCAAAATCGTTTGCAATGGCGCCGGTGCATTTATTCTTTGTGTTCTCTCAAACCCTAATCTTCTGGATTCTTCAACCCCTCTAGTTCCGACTCTCTAAACTTTTGTCACTGAATCATACTTCTTGAATAATATCTTCTAATCCTAACCTCTGCGATTACTTCTGCTACCTCTACTACTATTGGATTTGAATTGATAATTATATCTCTGTGCTGATGTGGTATGGCAACATGAACTGATGTACTTATGTACGAAGTGATACGTTGCATCTGACTGACTGACTGAGTTGATGATTGTGAATGCAATGGAGAACTGGCTTCAATGAGCGATTTACTTATCTGAGTGTGTGTTTGCATGCTTACTTCGCTTATTTATATGTCTAGCGTATTATTGTCTGACTATAATTACTTAGTCATATCTCATCGTACTGGAATGGCTCATTCTCTTCCTCCTACTCCTTCTCCAATTCGCTTTACTTTGCCAATAAGAATTTTCATTCTCATGCCTATTCGTTTTAGTCAGTCAGTCAGGTGCAACGTAGAACTTCGTACATAAGTACATCAGTTCATGTTGCCATACCACATCAGCACAGAGATATAATTGTCAATTCAAATCCAATAGTTGAAGAGGTAGTAAAGGTATTAGAAGTAATCGGAGAGGTTACGATTAGAAGATATTATTCAACAAGTATGATTCAGTGAGAAAAGTTTAGAAAGTCAAAACTAGAGGTGTTGAAGAATCCAGAAGATTAGGATTTGAGAGAACACAAAGAATAAATGCACCGGCGCCATTGCGAACGATTTTGAGCCATGTCATTCAAGGTCTCTAACCATCGATTATTATCATCTCGCGGACCCCAACCAGGTAGTCGACAACTACCAACACGATTCAGTCCACTCGTCAATGACTTCATGGATTTCTGTCATGTTTTGGTTTGGCCGCCCTTAGCTTTCTTCCAACCTATTCCTACACTACAAAACAAAACTCGTTGAGGTAGTCGGTGGTTCGGCATACGCAAGACATGTCCCAACCACCTCAACTGATGAAGTTTCATTACTTAATCTATTGATCTGCTATTCTTACCTAGTACTCGTTTCCTAATAACAGCATTGCTCACTCGGTTGTCCCACGATATATGAGCAATGCTTCTAAGACACCTATGATCGAAAACCAGTAACCGACGAATATCATCTACTCTCAATGGCCATGTTTTACAGCTATAAAGTAAGACGGACTGAACTACTGTGCAGGCCTATTCGTTTAAATGAACACATGAAATAAATTCATCTACAAATCCGTATTTGGCTTCTTATCGCCGCCACCATTACAGAAACGCAGTTCGCCTAAGTATATAATATTACGGAAATTGAAGAAAAAATTTTTATTTCATGACCTATTTCAATCATTTGTTCTAATTGGAGTTTGATCGTAGGCTACTGAAAAGTAAATTTAGTATATGTCTGTTGAATTGGTTCATCTTGATAACCTGTCTTTTACATTGGCGTGTATAGTGTTAGGATATTCATCCAATAATCCTAAGAGAATTATTGGTCAATGCCTATTAGTCAATCTTATGGTCGTCCTAGATATCAATGTCACGTGCTCCGATGTTATTTCTTATTGGTTGTCCTGACTATCAATGTCACTAAAAATGTTGGTCGTCTTAACTGTCAATGTCACAGACTTCGAAGCTGTTTCCTATTCGACCAAAATGTATAAATACTCATTGTCCGTAACGTTTTATGACCAGGACCCGGTCCCGGATCCCTAGTTCAGGATCCTGATTCACTTCTGGATTCGGACCTCGTACTTTCTGGATGGCTTGTAGAATACACGTTCTACTTCACATCAAGTATATCAGGTTGATGTGTTTACGTGCAGGCGTAGCATGTAGAAAGATGGTTGTTTTATAGTAGAGTAATTTACTGTGACATCGATCTGATCATTCCATGCAGATGCCTTTTATTTTTAGTAAATAGTAGTATTGTGGTGCTGTGGTGCGAACTACTTATAAGTAGTATATAGCGTGAGTGTCAACGTAATGTCTGGTAGCATAATATGGGGGGAAGATCAAGAAAGGAAGAGTCAGAAAACAATGGAATTTGTATGAAACGCATGAAGAGTGACAATGGAGTGATGTTTGGCAACAGGAACAGTCCAGTTCCATAGGATGAACTGATCTTTTGCAAATTAACGATTTACGATATGGTTTTCCGATTTTACTGAGTAACTCTGTAATTTTCGTTAAATACAATTCGGTTGCCTCCACCTGTGTTCTCATTCACTACAGTATCTCCTTCTAAACTGAAGATATACAAACTGGGATTGTTTTTTTTAAAATAGTGAATTTACTTGGTGAAGGCTAGTTGTCTTTCATAATTGTAGAACTTGTTAAAGAGAATTTTTAATCAGTCAGTTAGTCAACAACAACAACAACAACGTAGTTCAAGTTGACATACCACCACTACATTAGCACACACACACACAGAGATCGAATTGTCCATTCAAATCAGATCGTGAAATAAATTTTTACACATTTGAAATCATCTATCAATCATTGTTAGACCATCACTAGAAACCTGGAAGCACTGAAAGGCGGCCGTTTCGTCCTGGTATGGGACTTATCAGCAGTGCACATCCACGACTCCTGCTCCTCGCAGGGTTCGAATCCGGGACCTTCAGCATTGTAGGCGAACGCCCTACCATCGGACCACTGGGTCGGAATCCAACGGTGTTAATGTCTAACTCTGATTGATCTAGGGATTTTGCGCGACCTCACCCATTTGTCTTTGGTAGTTACTGCCTACACCCGACAGGGTTGAACTCCATTGGTCACGTCTTCTCAATTAGAACTCCGAGAATTTCCTCACGAAGCTAGTCACTAGTGAGCACTGTTACGATATTTTCGGTTAGAGTTTTGGAGGTTTGCGTTTTTACACATTTGAAATCATCAATCAATCATTGCGCACTGCTGATGAGTCCCATACCAGGACGAAACGCCGTCCAGTGTGCTGCCAGGTTTCTAATGGTGGTCTAACAATGATTGATTGATTGATGATTTCAAATGTGTAAAAAACGCAAACCTCCAAAACTCTGCCCCAAAATATGAAATAAATTTAACAATCTGAAATCAATAGATAACTGATTCGTTCTAGTCTGGGACTCACTGGCAGTGTGTATCCATGACCCGCTTGTGGAACCCAGGACCGGTTTTTTGACATTTATAAAGATAGAGGTTATGAAAAATTTTTGAAAGACTAGAATTTGAGAGAACGCATAGGAATGAATGCATCTTCTAACCAACCAGGTTGCATGCACTATTGTCTCATGGACCCCGACCAGGTAGCAGCAGTCTACTATTCACTAACATTGACTCAGTCCAATTGTCAGTGACTATTGAAGAGAATTATTGTTCGTTCAAATTATCTCTATGTTTCGTGTTGAATCTTATGTAATACTTCTTTCTTTTTAATGTTGTTTTTACTTTGTAAATGACATAATTGACGATTTTAAACATTGGAAGCACTGGGTGGCCGTTGTTTCGTTCTGGTATGGGACTTATCAGTGGCAATGCGTATTTACCACTCTGCAGGGTGGTAATTTCTAGCCCTGTTGGGTATAGGCATTAACTACCAATGACAAATGGGTGAATTCGCACAAAATCATCAAATTTAGACATTAACACTGTTGAAGGAGGCCGGCTCAATGGTCCAGCGGTTAAGCGTTCGCAAATCCTGCCCGATGTAGCGCACTGCTATTGATGAGACCTATACCAGGATGAAACAGCCATCCAATACTCTCAGGTTTCTTCTAATGTTGGTCTAACAATGATTGATTAATGGCTTTTAATCTCCATAACTTTGATTTAAAAAAAACAATTGATATTCTCTCTTTTTTCTTTTCCCTAAAGTTGGGGTTTAAATATTTGCCCGTCTAAATTAAATCTGACTGAAACAAAAAGTGATCACTTAGAACAAAATGATGACGATGATGATGATGATAATCCTAGCCGACATCTTACTCCTACTACTATCACATGCTCAGTGTCAAATCAACCGACTCCAGCCAACCTATCATCATCCACCTATCCTATCGTTTCACCGATACAAATGAATTCCACATCTGATCTGATTGATTGCTCTACTAATAATCTCTCATCGATTGACACAATGAATATTGAATCAACTAATCAATTTGTCACTACTACTACCACTACTACTACTACTACTACTACTACTACTACTACTACTACTACACCATCCACATTCATGCCAATTTATCAGAATAATTATACTCCAGTGGATATTCAATCAAAATTATCCCCTATCATTTCAATGCATTCAGCACAATTTAGTCGTGATTTATTTCTACCGTCGGATAATGATGATGATGAGAGTATGATGATTCAGAATGAAGATAGTGGGAGCATGAAAAATGATAATACGGATCAAACTGAAATGTTATTATTGACCACAATGATAAAGACTGAACCGGGAGTAAGTTTATTGATAATTATGATGATGATTATGGACAGTAGGGTGAATTCATAACTGCGCTAGTGAGAATCGAATCCAAAACACCTTTGGTCTCGCACATGGTCTCTCGTGCTGTTACGGGTATGAGGGCGGTTATCACTTCCCGGCTGCCAACACCGTGGAAGTTTGTTTTCTTGAGGAAGCTGAAAAGGAAGATAGATTAGTGTTGGTCTTAGAGACCTGAGAGCTTGACCGCAGAGTCCAAGGGACAACTGCTTGAGGCCGGTCACGCGCGGCCTTTTTATGAAACGTGTTTTGAGTATTAGCTCCGCTCTTAAAAGCCCTTAGTGGGCACCCTTACCGACGGAGACGGAAATCCGTGAGGTAGGGTGAGGTGTAACATTTTTAGTGTCGACCTTTTCTAACCCTTCCTTCCTTGTCAGAAGGCAGCATTGCTACAGATGCTGGTTGTCCGGGGGAAATACCTTACTGCTGTCACACTCCTCTATACTTAGCAGTACGACTTCGCTCTCAGACCTTGAGTAGTTGCTTTTAGTCTCATCGTTCTCTAATCAACCTGCCCGGCATGGTAGAACCTTCAGGAACATATGTTCCAGCCAATATAGCTCGGTTGGGTTATCAGGATAGGCAAGCCCGACCACTAACACGTCAAGGTCGCAGCTACGGTCGCACATGAATGCTTAAACTTCTAACGGGATTTCTTATAGGCGAGATATCTGTTCGCTAATCAAAGGATGAGTCTACTGCGCAGCAGTTCACTCCGTCCTATTTTCTGGCTGTGAAACATGGTTAGTAAGAGTAGAGGATATTCGTAGACTATTATTAGTATTCGATTATAGGTATTTTTGAAGCATTGCTCGTATATCCTAGGACAATCAACTGAGCTATGGAGCTGTCGTTAGGAAACAAGTACTAGGTAAGGATGGCAGGTCAATAGATGAAGTAATGAAACTTCATCAGTTGAAATGGTTGTCGAGACATGTGTTACGTATGTGCCTGACCACTGACTGACTGACTGAACGAGTGATGTTTTTTGTGGTGTAGGAATCGACTTGAAGAAAGTTAAGGGTGGCAAAACCAGAACATGGCATAAATCCATGAAGTCATTGACAGACAAGTGGATTGAGCCATGTTGAAAAGTTGGTAAGACTACCACCTGGTTGGTATCCGTAAGATGACATAATAATCGATGGTTAGAGATCTTGATTAACATGGCTGAAAATCATTTTCAATGGTGTTGTAGATGTATGTATCCACTGTTTTTATTCGCTCAAATTGTAATTTGCTGGATTTCTCATCACCTTTATCTTTTTTTTAATTTATTCTCCTGAATTATACTTCTTGAATCATACTTCTTCCAACCTTAATCTTATGGCTACCCTAAGCAACAATGCAAGCAAGTTCGGGATGCAGTTCTCACCCTCGAAATGCAAAATTTTGCTTCAAGATTGGGTTGCGTCGGTACCTGAACTAATGATAGGGAGTGAAGTAGTCCAGCGTGTCGACCGCTTCACTTATCTGGGGAGTCTCATCTGTGCTGATGACCTGGTGACTCACGAAATCTCAGTTCGGATACAGAAAGCTCGATTGGCTTTTGCCAACCTGCGTCACCTATGGCGCAGGCGAGATATCCGTTTGCTAACGAAAGGATGAGTCCACTGTGCAGCAGTTCGCTCTGTCCTACTATACGGATGGGAAACGTGGCCAGTAAGAGTATAGGACATTCATAGATTGCTTGTCTTCGACCATAGGTATCTCCAAAGCATTGCTCGAGTATCCTGGGACAACCGAGTAAGCATGTGTTATGTATGCCCAACCAGCCGCCTCTCTTGTGTTGTAGGAGTAGGCTAGAAAAAAGCCAAGGGTGGCCAAACCAAAACATGGCACAAATCCATGAAGTTAATGACAACTGAACTGAGTTATGTTTGTAGATGGAAACTACTACCTGGTTGTGGTCCGCAAGACAATTGTAACCAATGGTTACAGACTTGGAATGATATGGCTCAGAATCGTTTGTAATGGTGTGGGTGCATCCAAACGTTCTAATCTTCTGTAATCCTTATCAATTCTATCTTTCTGTTTCTAAAAT